AAATTACAAAAGTTGGGGCACCACCCAACTATTAGAAAGTCGGAAAAGTCAGGGTACCAGCGACTTAGCAAAAATCAGAAAAATTTAATAAGTCAGTGAACGTGTACTTAGCTTGATTTAGCAACAAAAATCAAAAGTTAGGGCACGTTCCAAAAAAGTTAGGGGACGTCAAAATAACTAAGGTTTCGATCAAACCATCGACTAAAAAAGTGAGTGCACCACTGAAATAAAGAGACGTCCAAAAGTGAGGGGACGTCGCCTCACTTTTCTCATACGAAAAGTGAGGGACTCTACAAGGAAGTGAAGCCACTAATAAAAGTGAGGGCAACACTTCCAACATATCTCAGGGAGCGTCCCATAGCTAGGGGACGCCGAAATAAGTGAGGGCCAAATCACAATAAGTGAGGGGGTGACTCAAACTACGAAGGATGCCCCAGGAGGGGATCCCAAAATGGATAGGAATGAAGACTCTGACAGTGAGAGTGTGCTAGAGGTGGGCCAACCTGCGATTTTAATGGAGCAGTGACAAGACGTGACTGCTCCAGTCGTGTCACTGTGACAAATAGCAGTGATTTTTTGGAGCAGTTTTACCTTAGTTGGCGGCCGTACTGCTAATATTATGTTAATGCTACATCGCAATATGGCATAATCGCAGTCCGCAGTCACGGCCGGGAGAGATGTTCCAGTTTCTAGCCTGCCCTCTGCAGTAACAGTTTCTATTTAGCGTGACCGCGATGCGATTTATAACATTATATTATTAAATTTGCATCACAGCTCCAGTTTTGTCCGCGCTGCATCGGTCGGAGCTTTAAGCGGGCAGTGACAAAATGTCACTGCTACTTGACTGAGACTGGAGCAGGCTGTGACTGTGACAGACAAGTAGCAGTGACAAAGTCACAGTTCGTGAAATCGCAACCCACCTCTAGAGTGTGCAGAGTTTTTCATCCACAAACTCTTTGGCCTCCAACAACCCCACCAGACGAAGTGTGGCCAAAGTAATCAACAGATTAAAATCACACGCACCCTTATGCCAAGACTGTGCAAAAAATCTTTAATTCTACCTATCCCACTCCGAGGAGGAGGTAAAAGACATTGTGGAAATTACAATCAGCCACATACTACGTTCCCACCCCCTCACCGTCAAGGCTAAAACTAAGGCCACCAAACGGCCAATGAAAGACAGCCCAGAGAGTAATGCTGGAGCTCTCAAAAAACTGACCATCAAGCCAAAGACAAAACCAAACCTACTAAATCAACCCTCAGCCACATCCTAAAGGACAACATCGCCGGTCATGGATATATCCAACCCGCAAATAATCAGGGCCACAGGATTTGGAAATCTGTTCCAAATTCCCACAAATAACAGATTCCAGGTCCTGGAAAACAAAGATAGAGAGCCAGAGCCGGAAACAGAAAAACCCAATAGGTCCCAAGAGGAAATAACGGCCAAAGTGGTAGAAACCATACCTACCCCCACTCCCAAAGCCACCGGCAAAAAAGCCCTCCCACCCCCAATAGTGGTAAGAGGCAAACTGGGCAACCACAAAGAGTTCCTGCGCATGGCCTCTACAATAACAACAGAGCAGGTAGAGATCAAATATGCCAGGAACTCTGTAACCCAAATTCCTGGTCAAATTGACACCATAGACGCTCTAGAGCAAGAGGTTTCAACCTTGACCAGGAATGTCCAGCAGACCCAAACTTCCCTTGCTAACCGTGTTAACTGTTCATCAAGGCCGAGAGGAGCTCTCACGAGAGCTCATTGCACTAGCTGAAGAATCGCACCCGGAGGAGGTGGCAACGCCTCCGAAGGGACGAGGATCGCCAGCGCGTTCGGGAACTCGAAGGTGCCATCAAAGATGGCATCAGCGAGTTCAGGAACCGCAAATGGACAGAAACTCTCCAAAACCTTCGTCCTCAAGACAACTCTCTGTGGCGCCTTCAGTCAAAAATGAGGCGGGAGCCTGTGCGTACCCCTGCACTTATTAGTAATGGCAGTGATTGCGTCACTGCCCCAGACAAGGCGGAAGCTCTGGCTTCGTTCATGGAGAGTATTCATTCCGGTCTCTCGCCCAACTCCCCTGAACAGGAGGAAATCGATCGTATAGCAACAGCCTTTGCTATAAGGAAATACCCCATCCCCCAGCACTTGCTCGCTGAACTCATTGTCACGCCCGGTGAGATGACACGATTTATCCGCCGGCTCCCAAGCGAAAAGTCCCCCGGACCAGATGGCATCCCATATCGAGCCCTTAAAAATCTTCCGCGGAAAATTATTGTCCAACTGGTACAAATAACTAACGCAATCCTAAAACTACAGCATTTTCCTTTTCAATGGAAAAAGGCTGTAGTGGTTATGATCCCCAAACCAGGAAAAAACCTTACACTCCCATCCTCTTACCGCCCAATTTCCCTTCTAAACTCTTTTGCCAAACTCGTGGAGAAGTTAATCCTGTCCAGGGTCAACAGGTTCGTCGAAAACTTCTCCATCCTCCCAAACAAGCAGTTCGGATTCCGCCCCCGTCACAACACAACTCTTCTTGCAGCCAAAATCTGCTGCGATGTCTGCCAAGCGTTCAACAGGCGCATGAACACGACACTTCTGCTCCTAGATATGGAGCGCGCCTTCGATAGGTTCTGGCACGCGGGCCTTATCTATAAACTTCTCGTAATTTTCAACTTCCCACTGCACCTCATCTCCCTGATACAGTCTTTTATCAGCGGCCGCACTTTCTGCGTCAAACAAGAAGACGCACTCTCAAACTCCAAACCAATTCAGGCCGGAGTGCCGCAGGGGTCGGCACTCAGTTCACTGCTCTACTCTCTGTACACAGCGGACATTCCAAAATTCCAAAATACAAATCTGGCGCTATACGCAGATGACACCGCTGTTTACGCTCAATCCTTCTACACTCAAGCAACAAAATTTCAACTTGCCCATCACCTTTCACTCCTTCAACCCTATTACGATAAGTGGAAGCTTGGTGTTAATGGTCAAAAAACGGAAATGATATGTTTCCACAAGAAACATACCAATAGCACCATGCCCACCCCACTTATCGTAAACAACATCCCAGTGACCCTATCCCCAAAAGCCAGATACCTCGGCATCATATTCGATCAGAGAATGAAATTCCATCATCATGTATCCCACGCTTTGGCTCGCACCTTCAGTGTGCAGCAAAAACTCTACCCCCTCATCGGCCCTAACTCCTCCTTATCACCTGCAAATGAATTATTAATTTATAAGCAGGTAATAAGACCAATGTTGACCTATGGGGCCCCTGTCTGGAATATCATATCCACAACTCAAAGGAATCGGCTGCAAAGATTCCAGAATCGCATCCTGAGGGGAGTCCTTTCGGAGTCCAGGTACGCCAGGATAAGGGACATGCATATGCAAGCATCCATTCCCTATATCTCTGACTAGCTGGACGACGCGACGTCAGTGACAAGTTTTACAGAGATGGAATCAGTGGATCCCCCATCACAAGCAGCATAACTGCCACGAGATATGACCCAGACAACCCCATACAAGAATTTACCTCTCTACTTTGAACCCCCATGAACACCTTCCACATCCCAAAACCTGCTAGTCAAGTAAATTAAAACCTATCCAATGCACAGCTAAAATCCAATCGTTGAGACAAAATTAGACAAGAAAATCTGGCGATAATGCCAACAGCCAAGTCTAAAGCAGGAGACTGGCAATCCTGACAACGGTCTAAATTCCATCATCAGTTCTTCGGAAAATTCCAACTAGCCAGAGATTTAGTGTGTATTTAACTCCTCTATCGCTGGCTATGAGGAAATCAACTTGTCTAATTAACCATCAATCACCCCCATTTCGACCAACAAATCTAGGCACAAATAGCCCAATTTAGCTGCAAACATGCATATCCCAATCCCGGTAAATTCTTGCACCCAACCCCCCGAACCCTCATTCTCTGACATCCCAAAAATCCACATCACCTGCACCAAAACCATTACCTAGAGGCTCATCAGGCCTCAGGACTGGTCAGGGTGCAGGGTTGTAGAACCCCTTTTATTCTTACCCGCGCTCACGCGCATCCATCCTCAAAGCTCACTTAATATTGTTAGTGACGCCGCGTCCAGTGGACCCGAACGCCCAAAGGGCACAACTTTTTTGCTTATACACTAAAATTAATTATAAGCGGGGTTTTTCGATGCTTTTCCCCGCAGAAGGGCGCTGGCGCTCTGCAACCCAAATCTGAGCAAACCACCCACACCCTCAGACAGGCCACTGTAGTGACCTAGTGCGCGCCATTCGTGGTAGTCACCAACGACTCTAGGGTCAGAAAAGCGACGTTAAAGGGAGACCAGGAAACGCCGAAGAGAGGTAACAAACAAAAATAGGATCAGGGGCACGATAGGTCAACAACATCGACCGGGGCTAGGGATTGCGCACTGTACGCTAGGCGTACAAGTGTGCGCGACGTGCTGCGTCACGCTGGAGTTTTAGCCTTAAGTAGTCTTTGTCCTAGGTTAAGTAATTGTGGTAAATATTTAAGTTAAGGGGCCCCAGCCCGGTTAGCTATAAGTATTTACTGTACATGATGAATTATTTAAATAAAGAGATTTTGAGTTTGAGTATTTTGCTAAATTGGCTTTTCCGGAAAGTCTACGTAAGAATTCAATAATAGTTGGGGATTCTTGTAAATTTATTCGAATGTTTAATTTATAATTTATAGACCGCTCAAAGCTCCAATTACCAATATTTTCAAAAAATAATCCCAATTTCTAAGTATATAGTCGTATCCATTGTTTTTCGGCTATCTTAGACCAAATTCAGTCTGTGAAGAGACAGTGACTCATTGTCAAGGGTCCGAAGAGAACAGTCGACTCGAGACAGAAGCCAGATAAGACGGAGTACCGAAAAGTTTATATGATTATAGAAGGAGAGTAGCGAGACATCCCAAATACCAGAGAGCCCCCAAATTTTTGTCATAGGCCGTCCGTTGGCAGTCATAAACGTGGAACAGGCCTTCCCGGACATCAAGTCCTTCTCCGAGGCAAAAGAATTCGTCAGTAATGGTGATAATTATTATTTGATTCCACGAAACGAAAACTTAAATATGCATATATCATAGCCACATGAAGTATGAACGACGACCAGCATTAAATGAATTTACCTCAAAATTAATACAAATTTTTGAGATGAGCTTTTTTTTGGAAAAGACAAATACGCTTTTTTGAAACAAAGTGTCTGCATGTCATACCAATAAAAAAATATATTAATATTTAAATTATTATTTCAAAACAATAGGTATAGGTACCCCTAATGCGATTGCATTTCTAAATAATACTTCCACTGTACTTCCGGTAGGTCAGCCGAATATACGATCAATTTTCCAGGTGAATAAGTAGATAAATCCGACTCAGTTTCAGGATCCCGATAAATTTCAAATCGAGCCAGTCTTTTAGATAATACAATTTCTTCCTCATTATAGTCACATCGGAACGCATTGGGACTGAGTTTTATTTTAAATTGTTTATCTTCTTCGAAAGGATTTTTGAAATGAATCGTCACTGGATGATTCAATTTAACTAAAAACGGGCCTTTGGGTTTTGGAGGAATTGATTCACCTTTTAAGGGATATCTAGAATTGCCTTTGTCAAAATATATTCAAAATAAATTATAGCTAGGTACTTACATATATTCCCCAGCTACCGTCGAAGATAGTGAGAGTTTAGTTTCGTAATGCCCTAATGAGCACGGTTCAAATGAAATTATAATTTTCGCGGAATCTCCAGGAGCTACTGCGCCACATTTTTCCATAAAAAAATGTTCATCATCAAACTAAAAAAAAATCGTTTTATGAAAAATGAAAACAAAATGTTATGCCATTTATTTACGTGGTAACTGAACTCGACGGTTCGTTCAAACGTATTTTCAAATGCGAGGCCCTGCGTGGCTTTTCCTCCAAATTCTGAAACGAAAACAACACATTCTTCAATTTTCGGAGCTATAGCTTCCATTTCCATCATATACGTATAAGTTCCCAATTCGTCACATTTTGCTGTTATGATTGTAGATACAGTTTCAACATGTATAGGGGAATAAGTAACATCAGTTTTGGCCTTAAATGGATTATTTTTGAAAATTTAATTCACATTTTTGAATACATAATAACAATTCACTTTACCGTGGTATATGGTTCCAACTTAACAAATTTAGGAAATATCAAGTTTTTTCCATTGGACTCCAATAAATAGGTCACAGGTGCATCAACGGGATTTTCCAAAGTTATGTACATCGTAACAGGCTCTCTTACTCTGGTATTGAAAACAATATTTTCCTTTGGTTCACTTGGAAGAACTTTTAGACTGATTTCAAAAAATATGTATTCACCTTCGGAAGTTTTAAAAGTAACTCTAAATTCTATTAACCCTTCGTTAACCACGTAAGCGCCCCAATTATAATTTTTCTTTTCTCTTCCTTTTAATTCGACATTCTTGAAGCCGAAAATTCTATACAACGTTTTGGTGCTAATAGGTGACAGGACCTCAGTGGTAACTTCAAAAGTTTGTTTCACATTGAGCCAATTTTCAATCGGAATGGCAGCGTGAAAGTTTTGTTTGCAACGAATCTCTTTTTCTATACGTTTTTCCAATAAAGGAGGTTCTGCTGTTCCTTCGAGTTTATATAGAAGTCCACTGCCATCGGGGATTTTAATAAATAAGTCAGCCTGAAAATTAGTTATATTCTTATATTATAGAATATTTTCCTCGTGTTGAAATTTCTATATTAGAAGACAAAATTGGTGATTCGCAAAGATTTCGACAAACACCTATCGAACTTGGAGAAAGTTTTCGGGAGGATTCGAAGAGCCAACCTGATCAAATCCAAAGAAGTCCTATTCCAGAAGAAAATGAACTGCCTCCGATATCTCATATCTTCAAAAGGAACAGAGATAGACAGGAAGATCAAATTCCTCGCTAGTTCGAGAAATTAGGTAAGAAGTTACGGCATCCAAATCGGAAAAGTCAAGCCGCCAACGCTACTAGCCATTCCAAAGACTATAGTAACAACTCTTGCAAATTTCACCAAAGACAAGAGGAAGACGAGTCTGCCGAAAATGCTGGTACCAAAATTGAGACATATGCTCATAAGGATATTATCAAAGAAGACAGAAAAAAGAACAAAACTTGTGAAGCGCTAAAACTGAACCATGAAAGACCACTGACATTCTAGTATCTGATCAAAGTGAGCAGTTTTCTCAGTTAGTTGATGTAAAGGCTTCCCAATCTCCGCAAAATCGTTAACGCACTGGCGATAGTACCTTTACATTTCTTCTTTGGTTTGGGCGAATCTCGTAGCACGTAGCACCTTTTCTGTGTCTTCCTCTATTCCTTTTGAAGATACGAGATATCGGAGTCAGTTCAGTTTCTGCTGGAATAGGACGACACTTCTCCAGATATATACCGATTCTTTGATAGATACCCAACTCTTGCAATGTGGAACAGGAGCTGTCTCTCTCAAATTAAAAACGTCGAAGAAATGGTAATCGGACATTTTCGTAAATCCCTTAGGGCCGGTTTCTCAATAGCGAGTCATCTCCGGGTTGGTTTCAACTCCAGGTTAAACGTGTCCAGTTGCAATGTTTACTCTGGAGTTATGCTTAACCCAGTATACTATTGAGAAACCAGCCGTTAGAGAGGCAAAAAGAAATGATTGTATCACCCGACTACCTCTGTAGACCGATTCTGGTTATCCTAGGAAATCATCATTTTGATCGAGAGAAGTGATTTATTATCGGCGATCTAACACATCACATATTTCTACATCGTGACGTTATCGGTGCGATGCAGAGTTGAAAAATGCCAATGTTGCCAAGTTGATAGAATTTGTTCAAATTGTTTTTGTCCCTTTAAACTATTTTTCTCTTCCTCTAACCAATTTGTGTTGTATCATGTCTTAAAGTTTGAAAATGACTGTTATGATTTTTAAAAATTTGTTTTTGTTTATGTGAATTGTATGTTTGTTTTCAATACTAATAACCCAAGGACATTGTTAATTGTTCGAAAAAGTTTTATAAAAGCCCTCCAAAACATGTTGCTTGGAAACAGAGCGACGCCGTAGGCGAAGGTCTTGTTGCCTTTGAGCAACAAGCTTGAAAAAGTTGACATAAAATTTTTGAGCATTCTTCAACGTTCGATGGTTATTCGGATTGCAATTTTTTCTATAAAAGGTCCTTGTGCGTTAACTTTTATCCACCAAAAAGCCCAAACGTTGTGGAAAGAGATTACAGAAAAAAATTCTGAAGCTTAAGTCATAAGAACAAAAATGTAGTCACATAACAGGAAACAAGCACGTCTTAAAATACAAAAATCAGAAAAAAGCAAAATTGTCTTGTTGTTACTGTAGTAACTAATCCAAATATAAAATAAAATTAATTCAAAAAAACTACATATACAGGGTGTCCTTAGATAAACTGACACATTTTCCAGGTAAATATCTCGAAAACGAGAAAAGGTAACGGGATGCGGTTTGTTCTGGGAGAATAAGGATTTTTCAAAGTTTTTTTTCATAGTCTTGCCGAATCTTGAAATTTGGTTTTACAGACATTCGATTTTTTGAAATAATTACATACTGACTGATTATTGATAAAACACCCGGTATATTTTGTCATCGTCAAAAAGGGTGACTTTTCTACTTTAAAAAAACGAATTTTTTTTTCAATTATCTTGGAATTGAATCGTAAAAATTGCACTTTGTTGAAGAGTGTACCATCGACTAGCCAAAAAAAAAGATAATAAATAATTTATGTTTAATATTCACTTGCATTATTAATTAATTTGTGTTTAATACTTGTATAATTAGTTAACTATGCGCTGATTAGTTAATAAAAGTATTAAACAAAAATTAATTATCAATTTTGTTTTAGCCAATCAATGGTATTCTCTTCGACAAAGTGCAATTTTCACTATGCGAGTTCAAACTAATTAAACAAAAATTTAACATTTTTGTAAAGTAGAAAAATCAGGCTTTCTGACGATGAAAAAATATACAGGGTGTTTCATTAAAAATAAGACAGTAATTTTATTTCAAAAAATCGTCGTTATATTTTCCCGTTTTCGAGATATTTATCTGCAAAATGTGTATTTAAACAGAATAAAGGTGAAATCAATTAAACGTATTATACTAATGACACCTTGCACGAATCCCCAATCCCCAAAGATCCCAAAAAGAACGCAATAGCCCTTTTCACGTGGCTCTGGTTTACAAACCGCAACATACCGCTCAAATTCGAGTGGTATTGACAACGTCACTGTGTTAGCGGGTTAGAAAACGGTATGTCATTTCTCTAACCACCTCGGCGATATGGTTACCTTTAACGGTTAGAACAAAATAAATATAAATTTTGTAAACAGCGGAAAGCGGGAAAATTGTCACAGGTGTAAACTTAAATATAAAGTTGTGACTTGTTGATTTTAAAGTTTCTACCTACCTAATCAATTGACGCACATAGAAGCAACAATTAAAGCTAATAGTTATTTATGTATCAAGGGTACTAAGTAGATGATTATGCCCTGAGGGCGACAGCCTTACAAAGCCGAGGGCCTTAATTTAAATAAATACCATTAATCCTTTTCACGTGGCTCCGGTTTAAACTATAACCGGGTTTCAAAACGGTTAGTAACGGTATGTGAAGTGATGATGTCATTGAAAATGCCACTTGAAAACGAACGGTTGGAAAAATGTTATTTTAAATTAGGCAATCCAACGGCCAATCAATATTTATAATAGGTTGATGTTCCCTCTAGTAACTGCACCAAAATATCACGTATACCTTGAAAGAAAATGTTCCTATTATTTATTTTATGTCATACCAATACATTATTGTGTTTTCATACCTTAGATACCATCTACATAATTCATTACTTTATGCCTGTGCGGGCATAAAGTACACATTATGGCCCGCGCGGGCATAAAGACGCAAAAAACAGTGGACAAGTAACTTATTCTTTAATAACAAAATATAAATTTACGCTGATAAACATATTATTTTTGTCAAAAAATTATGATGTTTGCACACTGATGACAATTTGCGAAGTGACATTTTTTTCCCAGGTATTTATTATTCATAACCAACTGGTATGACATAAAAGTTTGTACCTATGCACCACGGGTACTAATATATATATATATACCCTCCGGCGACTTACGAACCCTCGGGCCAGAGGCCCTCGGCTTTGTAAGACTGTCGCCCGGCATAATCATCTACTTAGTACCCTTGATACGTAAATAACTATTATGTCACTCTACACATACGATTCATTATTTTATTTTTTGTCCAAAACAAAATATGTCTGTCAGTGAAACACTTAGTGAAAGAGAAAGACAAATATACAATTATGATGCTCCCAATTTAGCTTTTTTGCCGTGGCGCCATCTTCTTGAAATTGCTTGAATTGTTTTCACCTTCAAAATTCGTTTCAAGGTCATCTCAAAAAATCCGCAATAATTTCCAAAATCCTTTCGCATAAAGATTATTTGATATATTAGAGAGTTATTGGAACTATTAAATACTGCCTCGCAGTAGATATTAGAGAGCTATTGGAGATTTCAAAATAAAGCTAGCAGTAATAAGGCAACTACCTTATTTAAATAGCGCTTCACCTAAACGCGGCTGGAAAAAAAGAGTTTATTTGTCACTCATTTGTAAAACGTCACTTATCAAGTCAAAACATAACCAGCGAAAATTGATTTTTACAAGCTACTGGCTCTACTGACTTGTAAAATTGACAGCTAAACTGTAAAAACTTTTTATTTACAACCACATACGTAATGTTGACATTTCTGACTTTTCAAAAGTTTGAAAGTGACACTTTTTTGAATTTTACTTTCCACCCGGGTGGAAAGTGGTCCCGGGTGGAAAGTGCTCACTTTCCACCCGGGTGGAAAGTAAGTTCTCATTTTTTAAAATGTTTAAGACGAGTCAGAACTTGTCAACAAATTTTTAAATTTTTTTTTAGGATTTAGTCGAAATTATGAGGGTTGTAATTGTTGTAAATAAAATAGTATACAAACCTCGGTAGGAAGTTTCATTCCTGTCTCGAGATTATAGTTAACTTCGACGCTTCGCGTCTCAGTTAACTAACTAATCTCTCGACAGTAATGAAACACTTTCCACCTCGGTATGTAATATACTATTACAAGTCAGTAGAATTATTTATTTTTGAAAAATCGGTTTTATCACAAGAATAATTGCTTGTAGGTACCTTCTGGGAGACTTTTCTGGTGATAAACTGTTGGCTACGACTGAGGCTTCATTAATAATATCTTGTAATAAATTCATTTCTGGAAAAAAATTGCAAAATGGAAATCTGTCAAAAAACCTATTTATAACTAGAAACAACGTCTTAACAACGTATCATTCTCATAGTTATACCAACTACCAAAACTTCTGTGAGAAAAAATCAAGGAAAAACATATAAATTTCAAATTTTTGTTATGTATTGATTTTTTATTTGTCCCTATATCTTTTACAAATGAGTAACAAATAAATTATTGTACATTATACGCCAGGTAGCAGTTTTTACTGGCTCTTGAAGGTGACAAGCTCGCCTGGCGGCTCGCTAGTCATTTCCTTCAATCGCCAGTAAAAACTGTTTTACCTGGCTAATAATGTAAAATACTATATCACGATCACGAACACGTCAAGATTCGGCTGTTCCTTAATTC